ACAAGGGACGGGAATCTCGAAGCTTTCTCCACTTCCTGCCAAGACACTACTGCCAAGCCAGCAATCATCCCTCTAATCTTGTTCGCACTTTTCCGGTAGATAAATGAAGGCAAGATGTCAAAATTAAGAAAGATGCGCCTGCCTGTTATCCTCGTTCGATCTCGCTCAGAAGAGATATCTCTCGGCCTGTCTCAGCTTCACCTGCATTCTCATTTGAATCTCCATCGCACTGTACCGCCAGCTTCGCGAGCCATAGAAAGAGCGAACGACGGCGTCGTGTTTAGTTAACATCACGAACCATCCAAATGACAACCACGGTTGAAACTTGAGTCCACCAGCTTAAGAGTCGACGCGAGTGAGACCGATTCTACCGCCTTGCCCATCCTCAACTACAGCGTACGCGTCGATGCTTCTTTGCAACAGCGCTATGAATCTGCATTGCAGCAGTCGCACTGCTTAGGGTGCTGCCTTGCATCTAAGTTCATCGTTCTGATCACTTCACGAAACGCCTGTCATGCAGGAGTCACGCCAACCAACTTTCAACCTCCTGAAAGCCGCTCACAACATTCTCGGCTACGGCACAAGACTTTTTGCGTACCTTCGTGGTCAAAAATCAGAGAAGAAGACACAGACTCATGAGTGAGAAAAGAGGCTTGCATACGTTAGTTTGCTAAGTAATCCAGACTCGGGGACGACTACATCTCATCCGACTCTCTGATTAATATTGAGGGTGGGCCGAGAACAGCGCGTTTAGTTCAATTGATCCTGTGGGTTAAAGTCTGAGTCTTGAACGAATCGGCACGTCGTGGCAGCATGGATCAACGAACCCTCTTTGACACCATCGGAAGGTATGACAGAAGCCGTCTCATCTCTACTACTAGGTATTAGGTACTCATGTGACAAAGAACGCTTGGACTCTCTGCCAAGACGAGCTGAGATGGCTCGGCACCTCTCGTGTCTGCTCCTCGATTTTTAGCGCCGAGATCAGCCACGTCGCCTAGGTAACGCGCATGTGACAAATGAGTCTTGGGCGTCACCCACTGACATAGTCAATGAACCACCCCTCCACGAACAAGCCAACATGAAGCATGTTCGACCCTGCTAGCATACAGCGCTGGATTGAAGAATCTCAACTGACCTGCGA